CCTCTAGTAATATATTTACTGAGAAAAATGGTGACGTGTTCAATACTTATTTTACCCGCTGTATGTATGGGTATGTGTATATAAGTATGCATGCCATCCATTTATTTATCCATTTATTTTTTAGGTGAGCTGACAGATGTTGGGTGTGTGGCCCTGTGTTTTCTTGGTGTATATTTAATATATTTCTAATCTCCATTTCAATCTTTCTAATTACATTTTCTATTTGTTTTTCCCTCTTTTTCTATTTTCTCTTTATTTAAAAAAAACAAATTACTGATGAAGAAATTTAGAAAGTAATATTAAGTTCTTTTTTCTACTGAAGTGATTAAAAAAAAGGTAACAGTCATTAGCTGCAGCATGATCAAGATGAAGAGAGACATAAAAACTGATAAAAACAGCTCCACTGTTGTTGTGGTGTGGTTTCTGTGATAGTGAGCGTGCAATACAAGTTATATTACAGACGTAAAACAAATGCAGCAAATAATTGTTGTTTAAAAAGTGATGTAAAGGCCCAACATACTCCATCCAAAGCCGAACAGTTGGCTCTCGGTTACATGGTGGCGAGAAATTAGTTTTTCTCATATCTTTGATAGTTCATGAGACACATGGTGCAGAGAAACCTCCCCTGCTGCYGTACACGCCAAAGCACAGGTTTTTTCTTGCTGGGGTCTCCACTCTGGTATCTGCCATTTGGCTACGATGTATGCAGATGCTGAAGCTTAACATGCCTGGAGTGTCCAGCAGCTGAGTGGACGATCCTGAAGGATTTTCTTACTKACTGAGAGACTTCCCTATTACTTGGATCATGGCTCGATGGTCATCGTCAAGTTAAAGCTGTTTTACTAAGTGTTGCTGCTCTGGCTGACGTCGAGCGGGAAACCCTGCTCTTCTGGTTCTGACGGTCCATTTATTTAAGATAAATTAGGAAAGCTAACATCTTACTTCCTACTTTTTCTTAAACCCTTGCCTTGCCAACCCAACCTGTTTTATTTGCCTTCAAATGTCTGGAATTGAACATCTAAGCTTGATATTTGCTGTCGATTAAAGTGCTGAATTGATGAACAATTAAAATCAGACGCGATCTGGATTGTTATTGATTCTTAAAACTTTTATAGGAAATTGATTGCTCACAATTAAGTGTACTGTAGTGATTTTGTTCGATTATGTAAATAAATGGTTACATTTATTGATGGATCAATCGAAACTCACTGAGCCACGTAGCCACTGAGCCAGGGTAAATGGATTTACCCTGCACCTCTTATAACACATTATAAGGAAAGTATTTTAGCAAGGTGATGGATGTGATCTGTGATGGACTTGCGACCTGTCCAGGGTGTACCCCGCCCCTGCACTGTGACTGCTGGATATGGGCACCAGTGACCCACGCAACCCTGAAAAGGAAGAAGCGTGTACAGAAAATGGATGGATGGATTTTAGCAAGGATCATTTTATTTTCTGTAAATATTACCTTTGTGCAAAAGTGAATGATAAACACAATGAGTGATGTGGCTCAGTGAGTTTCGATTGATCCATCAATAAATGCAACCATTTATTTACATAATCGAACAAAATCACTACAGTACACTTAATTGTGAGCAATCAATTTCCTATAAAAGTTTTAAGAATCAATAACAATCCAGATCACGTCCGAACTTAATTGTTCATCAATTCAGCACTTAAATACCAGACATTTGAAGGTAAATAAAACTTAAGTTGGGTTGGCAAGGCAAGGGTTTAAGAGAAAGTAGGAAGTAAGATGTTAGCTTTCCTAACTTATCTTAAATAAATGGACTGTCAGAACCAGAAGAGCAGCGTCTCCCGCTCGACGTCAGCCAGACCAGCAACACTTAAGGCTCCCACATACTCGGGCGCACTGTGCGCATTCCATGAGCCGCGCGGACTCCGCGCAAATTGTCCACGGATATTTGACACTTCATACTCGAGCGTACTGACCGCCGGACAAATTCTTTAATTTGTCGCAATTTCAGTCGTGATGTCAAGGATCAGGAGGAAGAGATAGTTTGCATTTTAGCTTTAAAACAAAAAAAGAAAAAAAAGAAAAGAACTACCTCACCCAGGATCAGAGCTATTTCCTCCCACAAATTTGTTGCTCGCTGAAAGTCTTTATATTCCTTCATTGACGCGTCAAAAAGTTTTCTAATCTCCTCCATGAGACGCTTTTCAAGATTTGACTCCATTTCCTCCACAGATGACACCGATTCTCAACTTTATCAGCTTGGTGTCACACCTAGAACAGTAGCTACATGCCATTGTGCGTACCGCGGATGCGGACGTAAAAAATTGATCTCTGCACAGACCAGTCCGTGGGGGTCCGCATTGAGTCCGCCTCGAGTCCGCGCAGACCTCCGCGGACYGAAGTGTGCCCGAGTATGTGGGGGCCTTTAGTAAAACAGCCAGCTTTACCTTGACGATGACTGTCGAGTCATGATCCAGGTCGTAGGGAGGTCGAACAGCGAGCAAGGAACCGGTACAGCCTCTTGCTCGCTTGGACTCTCCGAGGCATAATTTACCCTTTCAGCGCCGGTTCGGTCCACGTCAGTCGTAACGAGGAGGTCAGGCTCACTGGATCTCAATTCCAAAATAAAACTAGCTTCCCACAGGAAGTCAAGACAAAATTGCTTTGGAGTTTTTAAGCTCTGGCTTTGGGTCACACCGAGGAGTTGGTGTGTCCCGGCCGGGAAATTCATCCTTTGGCTGATGGATGAACTTCTCAGCCAAATGCTGCTTCTCCGGGGAGAGAGCACTTGGTCAGTTGTGGACGAAATGAAGGTCCGTCTCTCTCTACTCTCCGGGCGGAAACAGTGTTATTCATTTAAAGAGGGTTTTTGTTCCGCCTTCAGTCAT